AAAAAAAAAAAAAAAAAAAAAGACTTGTTCCAGATTATAGGACTCTAAAGAGATACATCAGTTAAATGCAATGTGGGATCCTAAACTGAACTCTGGTGAGAGGAAAAAATAAATTTTGTTGATGGGGAGACAGGGTTTCGCTCTGTTGCCCAGGCTGGAGTATAGGAGCACAATCATGGCTCACTGTAGCCTCGACCTTCCTGGGCTCAGGTGATCTTCCCACCTTAGACTACCAAGTAGCTGGAACCACAGACAGTGCCACCGCACCCAACTAATTTTTGTATTTTTTGTAGAGACAGAGTTTCGCCATGTTGCCCAGGCTGGTCTTGAACACCAGAGCTCAAGCAATGTGCCCACCTTGACCTCCCAATGTGCTGGGCTTACAGGTGTGAACCACTGCACCCAGACAAAAAAATTTTTTTTTGCTTAAAAAGGACACTATTGGAACAACTAACAAATGTGGTAACATGTGAATTAAATCACAACCATATCAATGTTAAGTTTGTAATTTTGATAATTTTACTATGGGTATGTAAGGATATAAATACAGAAGTATTTAAGGGCAAAAAAGTCTTTATGTCTGCAGCTTATTCTCAAATGGTTCAGAGAAGAAAAGAGTAGTGTGTGTGTATGTGTGTGTATACATATCTATACATACACAGTAGGCCCCTGAACAACATGGGTCCACTTACAGATGTTCCTTCAGTAAAAGTCACACTGAGTGTGCCTGCCTCTCCTGCCTCCCCTTCCACCTCTGCCACCCCGAGACAGCAACACCAACCCCTCCTCTTCCTCCTCCTCTTCCTATTCAATGTGAAGAGGATGAAGATGAAGGCCTTTATGATGACCCATTCTCACTTAATGAATCGTAAATATACTTTCTCTTCCTTACGATTTCCTTAATAACATTTACTTTTCTCTAGCTCATTTTATTGTAAGACTATAGTCTAGGACAAATATAACATACAAAATACGTGTTAATCAAGTATTTACATGATCAATAAGGCTTCTCTGGTCAACACTAAGCTAATAGTAGTTAAGTTTTGGGGAAGTCAAAAGTTATACACAGGCCAGGGCCGGTGGCTTATGCCTGTAATCCCAGTACTTTGGGAGGCTAAGGCGGGTGGATCACTTGAGGCCAGGAGTTTGAGACCAGCCTGGCCAACATGGCGAAACCCCGACTCTACTAACCAGGCATGGTGGTGTGTGCCTGTTAATCCCAGCTACTCGGGAGGTTGAGGCAGGAGAATCATTTGAACCTGGGAGGCAGAGGTTGCAGTGGGCCGAGATCACGTCACTGCACTCCAGACAGGAATGAAACCCTGTCTCAGAAAAAAAGAAAAGAGTTATACACAGATTTTCCACTGCACAGAAGTCACCCCCACAAACCCTACACTGTTCAAAGGTTAATTGTATATAGAAAGAAAGAGAGAAGAAGAGAGAATGAAAAGCAAATCGCCTAATACATTAAGCTTTGAGGAATCTGGATGAAGATTATACAGAAATTCTTCATACTATTTTTGCATATTTTCTGAGAAACTATTTCAAGATAAACTGCTAAATATACACACACACACACACACACACACACGCACCTCACAACACCTTCACTGCCCCCACTCTACCTAACCCACTGTTCTCTCTCCCCTGGATTACTTCAGTGGCCTCCTAACCAATCTGCATGTCTGCTCTTGCCTCCGTCTTTTCTCAAAAAGCAGCCAGTGATCCCGTTAAAATATGTCAGATCATGGCACCGTTTGCTCAAAACCTTCCAATGCCTTTCCCTTTCGTTCAGAATAGAAGTTAGAGCCCATACTACAATCTACAAGGCCACACGCGAGCTGCCTGCCCCCGCACCTCTCGCCTCACCTCTACTCCCCTTGCCCTCCTCATTCTCCTGCAACCCCTGTCCTCACTAGAGCTCTTCACACCCTCAGGCAGGCTCCCAGGTGCAGGCCCTCATCCTGGCTGCTCCCTCTGCCTGGTACACGCCACACTCAGGTACATGCGTGGCACAGCAAGGACTGCCCTGGCCATTCTATCTATCTCGAATTTTCCTCTTACTGGCACATGTTCTCTCCCTTTCCTACTTTATCTTCTTAGCACTCACCAATTTCTCATGTATTACATATTTTATAAATTTATCTTGTCTGTCTCATCTCCCTCACTATAATATAAGCTCCAGGAGAACAAGTATTTTTGCTGTTTTGTTTACTGCTATGTCCTAGTGCCTAGAACAGAGAGCGGAATAATGTAGGGGCTCAAAAGGTTATGTGTTAAATGAATGAATGAGAACTAGACAAAAGCATTATCTGCAAGGCCAAAGGAGAATTTGTAAAAGTTTAAATCCATATACTCACCTAGGGAAGCACAACTACCCTCTCCTGCCTCAAAGCTGCAAGCATATGTGTGAGCAGGAATGTAGGCAGCAGACGTATTTAGAAACGGGTCCCAAACAATGACATTGTATATGACACCTTGTCCCGGGAGGGAGGAGAAGGAAACGCTTGTCTTATCATTAGCTGTTAGGGTAACCACCTGCAGCCAAAAATAACATATGATTAGTGTTTAGGGGATTTTTTTTAAGCTATTCTGTGATAATCCCACCTACGTGTAATATTAAATGGTATATTTATAAATTATAATTCTTGTTTAAAATATTCACCAACCCATTTAATATGGTCAAAAGGCCATCTTACATGGTTTGTATGTGCTAATGTAAGCAAGCTCTTACACAAAATGCTTCCAAAGATTTTTTTTAATAGTTTAAGGAAAATGAGATACAAATAATGTATAAATGCTAGTTAGGACAATGTAAAAAGGTTTTTTTCTCCTCTGCTAGACTATAAACAACGATGGGAACTGTATTTCTCTTGTGCACTGCTCTTTCCTCAGTGTACAGCCCAATGCCTAACACAGAGGATGTGTTCAATATTAGCCACAGACTAATGTAGACAGTCTGTTAACATCTCCCAGACAGTACCCACTTATTTTTGTCTAACAGTCTCTGAAACAAGAAAATATTACATAAGGTTTTGCTATGTAGTAGTAGTTCTTAACTTCAGAAATTCCACTGTAAACTATAAAATAGAAGAAACAAATGCTTTATAGAACAATAATACCTATGTTCCTACTAATTGGAGAAAAATAAATATTAGGGTTTCAGGAGTAAATAATTACAAGCCCTACTACATCAGAGTACCACTGTTTAAAAATACTGCTTAGCCTTCAATAACTTGTTTCCTGGGCAAAGGTCTGATCAAGTTCAACAAACTGTTAATATTACTCCCAAGTTATCATGAGAAATTTAAACCACACAGAAAAGTTGAATGAATAACACAATAAACAGACTATATACTGCCTACTATCAACAATTGTCAGTATTTTACCATATTTGCTTCTCTATCACTCCTTTCTCCCCATCTCTGTTTTTTTCCTGCTGAAAGTAAGTTACAGATATCATGACACTTCACTGTGCATGTCCTACCACAGTGTTTCTCAAATTTAATGTGCTTGTGAATCGCAGAGGGGCAGTCTTGTTAAAAAGCAGATCAAGACATCATCTTAGATGATGCCAATGCTATGCAACCACCTACCACACTCTGAGTAACAAGGTACTCAGTACAGATGTAAGTCTAAGTACAGACTGACAAGGGGATTACAACAGGATAAACCCATCGTAAAGTCAAAATGCATTTAATATACCTCACCCACCAAACATCACGGTTTTACCCTAGCCTACCTTGAATGTGCTCAGAACACTTACATCAGACTCAGTTGAACAAAATTATCTAACACAAAGGCTATTTTTTAATTATTATTATCATTATTTGAGATGGAGTCTCACTCTGTTGCCCAGGCTGGAGTGCAGTGGCGCGATCTTGGCTCACTGCAAGCTCTGCCTCCCAGGTTCACGCCATTCTCCTGCCTCAGCCTCCCGAGTAGCTGGGACTACAGGCACCTGCCACCACCACCACGCCCAGCTAATTTTTTGTATTTTTAGTAGAAACAGGTTTTCACCATGTTAGCCAGGATGGTCTCCAACTCCTGACCTTGTCCTCCTGCCTTGGCCTCCCAAAGCGCTGGGATTACAGGCATGAGCCACTGCGCCTGGCCCACAAAGGCTATTTTATAATAAAGTGTTTAATTGCTCATGTAATTTATTGAATACAGTACACTGTAGAATGTTAGCTGTTTACCAATGTGGTTAAGTGGGAGCTATGGCTCACAGCCACTGCTCAGTGTTGCAAAAGTATCATATTGCTAGCCTAGGAAATGATCAAAACTCAAATCAAAAGATCGTAAGTCAAGCCATCATAAGTCAGGGACCATCTGTACAAGAATATTCTCCTATATAAACACAATACCTTAGCTCACCTAAGAAAATGAATAATTTCTTATTAGCTAATACATCATCCAGATTTTCCCTAATGTCTTTTCCTTTTTTTTTTTTTTTTTTTTTTTTTTTTGAGACAGGGTCTCACTCTGTCACCTAGGCTAGAGTGCAGTGGTGTGATCTCAGCAAACTGCAACTTCTCCCAGGCTCAAGTAATCCTCCAACCTCAGTCTCCTCAACATCTGGGACTACAAGCACGCACCACCACACTCGGGACTTTTTGTTTTTTTTAGTGGCTATGAGGTTTTGCCACGTTGCCCAGGCTGGTCTTGTACTCCTGAGCTCAAGCGATCTGCCTGCCTCAGCCTCCCAAAGTGCTGGGATTACAGGTGTGTGTCACTGTTCCTGACCCCTAACATCTTTTCTAGCTTTTCTCCTTCTTACCCAAGATCAAACCAAGTTCCATGCATGCTGTTTATGGCCAATCTCAGTAATCTAGAGCAGTCTGTCTCACCTTTCTCTCTCAGCCACCCAATGACTGCAGAAGAGATGAAGTCAGTATTCTCACAAAGTATTCCACAATCTTGTGTCTAACTTATTCTTCTATCCCCCATACTTCCTGTAAATAGGGAATCCAATGGACTAAATTCAGGTTAGACATTTTGTGCTAGACTATACCACAGGCGATGGTGATAATGTCAGACTGCACTACATGAGCTCATAGTACAGGCTGACCCATTTTCAGTGAAACTAGCTTTGGCCACCTGGAAGAGGTGGAGACTATCAGGTCACTCCATTTTGAAGCGGTTCTCCTTTTACAATGAGAATTAATCGAAGGATGCTACTTAGACACCTTAGAAATATCCTGTCCCCTAAAAACCTTCACCTGCTGATCCTTGCTGGATTTATTTCATGGAGGGTCACAAAATGGTGATCATCTAATTCTCTATTATTCCTTCTACATATATTAGCTGGCGCTCTTCTGCAAAGAGCTTTCTCTCACCACCTGGGGAAGAATTAGTTTCTCCTTTAAAAAGGCAGGCTAAATTCCTTTATCAATTTTTGGAGTAATTTGGTGTAAGTGTTTCCTCCAGTGGTGGCAACTGAGGAAGGTTTCATTTGTATTTATTCAAGGCTGACAACCATAATCTTTTTCTTTTCTTGATTCTTGAATTGCCCCAAATTTGGCAGTGTAAGCCCTTCAAACAGGCTCCTGAATCTCTGACACACCCTCATTAGTCTTTGAGGGTTTCCCCACATTCTGGAACAAAATATTCTTTTAACTAAAAGTTAAAAAGTAACCTAAAAGGAGCCTATTAAACAAGTTCTTATAGTCTTCATAAAAATAATAATAGTATGTCATATCTAATAAAGCAACTAATAAACCTTACTAACAGAGCTTCTTATTTTGTGAATAAGCACAATGACGTTGTCTAGAAAAACTCCACCCGTCAACCATTAGACTGAAGGATGACCTCATATGTTACATTGCAGTTAGGCACTTTTCAAGACATAAAGATAAAATCCTGCCCTCCACAAAAATGATCTATTGCAGTGAGTGAGTCTCAAAATCTAATATGCATAAGAATCACCTGAGAGATATTTTTTTTCTTTCTGTTTTTGAGATGGAGTTTCACTCTTGTCGCCCAGGCTGGAGTGTAACAGCATGATCTGGGCTCACTGCAACCTCCACCTCCTGGATTCAAATGATTCTCCTGCCTCTGCCTCCCGAGTAGCTGGTATTACAGGCATCTACCAACATGCCTGGCTAATTTGTGTATTTTTAGTAGAGAAAGGGTTACGCTATGTTAAACAGGCCTGTCTCGAACTCCTGACCTCAGGTGATCCACCCACCTCGGCCTCCCAAAGTGCTGGGATTACAGGCGTGAGCCACTGTACCCAGCCAGAATCACTGGAGGGATCTTATAAAATGCAAATTCTGATTCAGTAGTTCCAGGGTGGAGCTTAAGAATTACAATTCTCACAAACTCTCTGGTGATGCCAATGCCACTGGTCCATGGATTCAAAAGCTCAGAGAAGAATTTTGCTCCAAGTTAGAGACTTTGAGTTTGGGTTCAAATATGAATGCCAATGTATGTATCCTTAAGTAGTTTCTCATTTTTTTTTTTCTCAAAACAATGTAATCTTCATACTTGCCAAAAATGTTTACCCAGTAGTCATGGGAGTACATAGAAAATTACCACCTCCTTCCATTCACATTTCAGATTACCAAGTCATAGATGTGGCTGCAACTAAAACTTAACATAATTTACATGCATCTCCTCAAAGGCCAACATCATTTTGAGGTATCACCAGCAAAGACTCCCAAGATGATAACAAAATAAAAGAGAATAAAGTGAGTGTTCCCAGTAAAGGAGGAAAGAGTAAAGAAATAAGATCCTGGTAGCTTCTCCCTGTCTCAACTCTGACATAGGTGTCACAATCCAGCCACACAAATCATGGGACTCAGATTTACCTTGAGAGCATTGGCCTTCACCTGGGGCACGCCGACCATCCTCTGCAGATGCTTCAGCAACATCTCCTCAGTGAGGTCATTCTCAGGCAGAAAATACTGATAGACATCATACTGCAACCTCCATCGGGAGTCCTGGTCCATCCCAGCATCACATGGCGGGGGATCTACACCTCTAAAGTCAACCAACAAAATGAAACATCAATCTCTTGTGGTGCAAGTCCCATCTATAAAAAGGAACCAAGAGCCCTAATTTCAAACACTTGCAACAATAATTACAATTTAACAGTTCACTTTTTGCAGTGGCAACAATTGGTATTCTGAAGAAAAGTAACGCACTGTTATGGACTGAATGTTTGTGCCTCCCCAAAATTAATATGCTGAGATCCTCACTCCCAATGTGATGATATTAGGAGGTAACTAGGTCATGAAGACGAAGCCCTAATGAATAGAATTACTGCCCTCATAAAGGAGATCCCAGAGAGCCTTCTCGCCTTCTTTCTGTCATGTGTGGACACAATGACAACCCAGCAGTCTGTAACCTGGACGAGAACCTTCACCAGAACTCGACTGTGCTGGCATCCTGATCGTGGACTTCTACCCTCTAGAACTGTGAGAAAGAAGTTTATAAGCCACCCAGTCTGTGCTACTTTGTTACAGCACCACAAACTAAGAGGAACACCAACAGGCAAGGGTGATTACATCACTGGATTCTGATAACAGTCAGGCCTAGAGTAATACTACAGCTTTGGGGAGACAAAAAAAAAAAAGCTGGGTGCAATGGCTTATGCCTGTAATCCCAGCACTTTGGGAGGCTGAGGCAGGAGGATTGCTTGAGCTAAGAAGTTCAAGACCAGCCAGGGCAACATACAAAGACCTCATCTCTGATTTAAAAAAAAAAAAGAAAAGAAAAGAATATACCAGATTTGTCATTTGTTAGCAAATTGCTTAACCTCCATAACCCCTAGGGAACCTTTCTGTAAAATAATAGCAATTGCCCTTCTTCATAAAATCGTTAGGATTTAATGGCAAAGAACATAACAACGCTCAGCACCATGGACAATGCACAAGAAGCATTCAAGTGTTCTCAAATGTTAGCTATCATTACTATTAAAGCAGAAACTGAGGCACAGCTTTAATTAAAACAATGAATCTTTATAAAAATATAAGGATGTTTCAGGGCTACTGAGCGCTATCCATATTTAAAGTGCTTTATAAAAACCAGGATGTACTTTCAAGCTCATAATAGACTCACATCTGGCTCTTCAAATAAAAAGAGTTCACAAGAATGAAGTGGGAAAATATTAACTGTAAATGACAGCCCAAAGATTAATAATGAAGTTTAAATTACATCAATTACCCCCAAAAATTAAAGAACTCAATTTTACTACAGAGAACTAGGGACTTGAGAGAGCTGGTCAAATCTACACAACTGTCGTCATGTATGTTCTAAAAGCATTTCTCAGAGATGGGAGACAGACATACCTCGCATAGCCTAGGTTTGCCGGGGCAAACTTGATAGTCGTTTCAAAGAAATTATACTCCAAGTAAATGTTGGGATCAATATCTAAATCAAACTCCAAATTACAGCCTCCAGGGATAGGATCTGGATAAGAAATAGGGAAGTTACCAAAAAAACAATTCTTACATATCCAAATCATACTCAGAAAAACAGAACTCTATTCTTAGAAGAACTTTCCAAATAGAAGTTAAATATAAATGTAGAGCTTCTAGTCTTATACTATTTCATGAACTGAGGTTAAAGAGGGTAGAGTTAACTGAGGTTCAGGGCCCTAGAGCAGGGCATAGCAAACATTTTCCGTAAAAGGCCTGATAGTATTTTAGGCTTTGTCAGTCTGATGGTCTCTGCAGTAACTACCCACTCCTGTCCTTGTGGCAAGAAAGCAGCCACAGGCAATACGTACAGGAAGAGGCATAGCTGTGTTTCAGTAAAACTTCAAAAGTATAAAAACAGGCAGCAGGCTGGATCTGGCTCATGGTCTGTAGTTTGCCAACCTCTGCTCTAGAGTTAAAAAGATTGGCTATTGGTTGACTACTTCTGGCCAGGTTTGGAATGCAGATACACAGTGTGTATACAAGTTTCAGTATCATGTTGGAATCTTCCTTCAAATTCTATGCTCTTCTTTCATACTCTCCTTTTTCTGCACTTACGGATCTTTACCACACCACAAATGGTGCGTATGCCAGCTGAAGCTCCTCTGTTCATAATTTTTCTGTGTACACTGCCCTTGATGAGAGCCTTAATTAAGTCTACGGTTTCTTATCAGGAAATTAGCCTTTTGTTACAGCTAACATTTCCTATCTTCTACTCCAGTAATCTTCTGGATTCTACCTCCTTTCCTAATTAGTGCTCCCTCTCCTTCCCTTTACCCCCAAGCTTTAAGAGTAGTCTAAATGTATTCACCTCACCTTCACTCCTCCATCCCTGTTGTGCCACTAAAGTGACTCTCGCAAAGGGCCACCGCTGACTCCTACTTGCTCTAGCATATGGACACCTTCAGTTAGTTCTCTTGACCTCTCTGTAGAGTATAACTTATCACTTCTGTTTTTTTGTTTGTTTGTTTGTTTGTTTTTTTGAGATGGAGTCTCGCTCTGTCACCCAGGATGGAGTGAAGTGGCGCAATCTCAGCTCACTGCAACCTCCACCCGCCGGGTTCAAGCAACTCTCCTGCCGCAGCCTCCTGAGTACCTGGGATTATAGGCACCCGCCACCACACCTGGCTAATTTTTGTATTTTTAGTAGAGATAGGGTTTCACCATGTTGGCCAGGCTAGTCTCAAACTCCTGACCTCAGGTAATCCACCAGCTTCAGCCTCCCAAAGTGCTGGGATTACAGGATTACAGGTGTGAGCCACCATGCCTGGCCTGCTCCCTTTTAAAGGCAGAACCTCCAGGCTCTCTTCCTACCTACTTGACTACTACACAGTCTTGTGCTTACTCCTCAGCAGTTACTATCTGCTAGAAAGAGTAGCTGACACACAGTAGGCACTATGAAAGTATTTGCTATGATTTTTGCCCTAAATATCCAAGTACATGCCTGGATAATCTCATTTACTGCCACAGCTTTTAATAACAGCTATTTAGTTGGGAATCTAATCTCATCCCTCCACTCCAGGCCGTCATTTAAATTATCTACTGTGCATTTCCATCCAAATGTCCTACAAGCATCTCAGATTGTGTCCCAAACTGGAGTCATCATCTACTCCATCCCACCTCCCAAAACATTTGGCACCACCATAACCCTGTTCCCACACCTATTTTGTATCACTATTTCCCTGCTGCCCAAATAGGAAACCTATGCTTCCCTCTTATAATCCGTGACCACCAGTCACTGTGTTTATCAATTCCACCTTCTGGATATCTCAAATCCAGCTCCTCTTCTCCATCCTGCCTCTCATGGCCTCTGTTCAGATCCTTATTTCTCATTTTGTGCTGAGTCCTGACTCTGCTGTGCCCTCTCCTATCCATCCCCACACTGCTTCTAGCATTGGTTTTCTAAGAGATGAAATGGACCACACCATTCCTTTGCTTAAAAACTCTATGCCACCTTAGAACCTACCTCGAAATAAAGTACAAACCTCAAATTGTACGCAAGGCCCTCCACACTCCAGCGGCAGCCACACCCACAACGCGCCATTCTCCAAATCATTCTTCTTCATGACGTAGAGCTTACTGCTTCTGCTCAGAATAACTACACTGTTAGGACTATGTCTTGCCTTAACTATTACTGCTTCTCCAAGGGCTCCCTACATGTTTTCTGAATGAATAAATGTGTTCTCCTAGTTACTACCTGAGCTTTCAGTCATCATGCGAATTCTCTTACTGTAAAATATTTCTGATTATATACATTATACTTGCAACAAACAATCTTAATAGGATCATTTTCCCTAAAGTTTCATGAACACATTCCATATTCCAAAGAGAAAGAGGGAGGAGAAGACAGAAGGGTTACCTCTTTCTGAGTAGGAGAGTAGGATAGCCATATTCTGTACAGGCTCTACGCCTGAAGTCCCCAGGTACCAAGTGCATGTACTCTGCTCCGGTCTAAGGATGAAAACCAGTCCACTGGCAGTGCCTGTTTCCGAGGCATTGGAAAGGAGAGTCTGCAGTCAAGAAGAAACATCGTCATGAATAGGAAGTTGAGCAAAACATATAAATTACCGAGCTGATCCAGTGCGCATGTCCTATTCCAAATCTTCTCAAAATAGAAAAAAAAACCTTCCTCAAATACCCAGGGAATTCTTGTCATCTCTATGTTCACATGCCCACACATATACATGGAAAAAGCATTCTTAAAAAATATATGATTGTCTTAGTTAAGGCTGCTATAACAAAGTACCACAGGTTAGGTGGTTATAAACAACAGAAATTCATTTGCACAATTCTAGACTCTGGTGGTTCAAGATAGGGATGCCAACACAGCTGGGTTCTGATGAGGGCCCTCTTACAGGCTGAAGACTCAGGATACAATAACTTCTTGTACCTGTTCTTGTTGAACCACATTACTTCCCAAAGACTCCACTTCCTAATACAACACACTGGGGATGAGGATTTCAACTGCGAATTTTGTGAAGACACAAACATTCTGTCTGTAAAAATAATCTTTGATCAGGAATAGCAGATGCACAGTGAAATTCCCAAGTGTTTCAATTAACTTGAATTAAGATTTACTATGTCAAATAATGTTTTGTCTTCGTGTCTAAGACCACTAAGACAAAAACATGAGACCTGGCCCCAAGGAGTTCAGTTTTTGAAGTACCTTTTAAATTGTGTTATAACTGTACATAAAGTATACTTTTTTTTTTTTTGAGACGGAGTCTAGCTCTGTCACCCAGGCTAGAGTGCAGCGGCGCAATCTTGGCTCGCTGCCAGCTCCGCCTCCCAGGTTCACGCCATTCTCCTGCCTCAGCCTCCCGAGTAGCTTGGACTACAGGCACCTCCCACCAGGCCCAGCTAATTTTTTGTATTTTTACCAGAGACAGGGTTTCACCGTGTTAGCCAGGATGGTCTTGATCTCCTGACCTCGTGATCTGCCTGCCTTGGCCTCCCAAAGTGCTGGGATTACAGGCATGAGCCACCGCATCTGGCCCATAAAGTATACTTTTAAGTGTTGATATACATAGACACCTGTGAAACCATTACCACAATCAAAATAGTAAATGTATGCATCACCCCAAGTTTCCTTGTGCCCCTTCCTAATCCTTCCTCGCACACTTCCTCTCTACCATCCCCCACTCCCATCTGCTTGGAAAGCTTTTTGAATAATAAAATGCTAAGCTAAGAGGTAATAGATTCAAGAGGTTCTATCAAAGTTAAGGAAATGGGAAGGAAAGGCAGCAGAGCAGTTTCAATTTGATAAGCATAAGAAAGAATGGCTCAAATATTAATTGATAAATGATCAAGTCAACAGTTTCAAAGAGCCAACTGCCCTCACGACCCAAAAAAACCAAAAGTACTATACTTTATCAGGAAGGGCACAGGAAACAGAAGCACTTCTCTTCACACAGACCACTCACTTCCTGAGCCATGTGCAGTTCTGGCCATCATATTCTAAGTAATACAACAGTGGGAACTAAAGGCAGTCCAAGAAATGAAATGATAATTAAGGACAATTAAGACCCTATCTGCATAGGAATCAAGGCCCAAGATGCTGCCATCCAGGTCTATTTTATCACTGGTGATGCTGGCATCTCTTCATCCAAGCTTTGCTTACTCAGATGTAGAAACAGGTATCACTACTACTTTGTTGAGCTTTAATGAGAATTAACCATATGGAAACCAAACACAGGGGTTCCTAACTGGGGGCCTGAGGGTTTCTGAAGGGCCCCAAGAAACTATATATTTATATTTGAGTCCACAGACTTGAGCAGTCTATGGCTCCGGAAGCTTAAGAACCACTAGCCTAGCACACAGTAGGCATTCAACAAATATAAATCCTTATTTCCCCCATCCTCTCTCTTTTCCTTCAAATGTTGTCTTGCTGTAATGTCATTAGGAAGAAAATCATACTGTTTGTCAATTAAAAATTGTTTTAATAGATCTAGTTCAAAAAGAAGAAGAAAGAACTCATCTATGTGCCATTTTACTAAGTCTCCTATGTAAGAGCCTGAATAGGAAGCTGTCTTTTGAATTCAGTGCCATAAAAAACTTGCCTCCCCTGAGGAACTGGCATGCTCCTTCCTTTCTAAGGAAGTTATGAAATTTAACATGCTTCACCTTCTGCTCTAGCTGCAAAGAACTTGGGCAAATTCAATGTATGCGTGACATCGGTATCTCTCGTAATTAATACTATTTATTCCTTTCCTTTTTTCCTCAGCTGAACTCTTCCATTTCCAGTCTATTAACTACCCCCCCACACCCCCACAATACACGCGCACACACATGCACAACCACATGCACACAATTTCCAAATCTCTATGGTAGGAGCAAGAAGGCAGGAATAAAAAAATACAATAGTAAGAAAGGTAGTGTGACCAATGCCTATACTATTATATATAGGCTGGGGTGCAGTGGTTCATGCCTGTAATCCCAGCACTTTGGGATGCCCAGGCAGGAGGATCACTTGAGGCCAGGAGTTCAAGACCAGCCTGGGCAACATAGCAAAACCCCATCTCTACAAAAAAAATGTTAAAAATTAGCCAAGTGTGGTGACACGTGCCCGTAGTTCCAGGATCACTTAAGGCCAGGAATTTGAGCCATGATCACACAACCACATTCCAGCCTGGGTGATGAAGCGAGATCCTATCTCTAAAAAAATAAAAATAAAAATTTTTTAAAATTACATATGAATTGGATTAAGACAGATTTGTTTACCAAATTCCAGAATATTATAAGATAGGCTTAGAACAAATAAAATGAAGTATAACTTCATACAAGGTGAAATGCATGTATTGGTCTAGGGCATCATAGAGACTAAATATAGATGTGTAAAAGATTACATAAATGGCAGATTCTTCATAGCTTAAGCTAGCTAACACAGGGAATTTAAAAAACTTTCTAAAGCTGAGGTTGACGTTAAGGGGTTTAGTGATGATATCTACAATAAAGTCCTTAACACTGCTGGAGGCACGGCACAGGGCTGGATGAACTGAGCACTATAATTTTTTTGTTGTTTGCATGACAGAGTCCAAAGAATAAAGTTGATATTATAGGGTTCTTGGTAAAGTTCAATACTATAGCTAAACAACAATGAAAATTCATTAAAACGTATATTCTCAGGTAAAAATTATTAAGGCCCTACTAAAGTAAGAAAATGAAAAGGTGGGAAATCACGAAAAAAACTTGCCTGCACAGTGGTGACATTTGGCACAGAGGGCCCTTCCCCCCAACTCAGGTCTCCATTACCCTTTTTAGGTCAGAGACCACCACACTCAAGAAAGGCCTGAGATACTCTCAATCACTAACTTGAAAACATCCTATTTTGATTTTTTAAAATTTAAGACATAAGGTCATAAACATAGAAGAGAGAGAGAGATACCAAATTCTAATGCTCATACTAAATACCAGACCCCAAAATATAGAAATGATTTTTACTAAAATAATTATTTGTACTTACCGGAGAAAAGGAAACGGTTGTATTCTGATACTGTGAGTGTATTTGGAAAATAAGAAAAGTCACATTGCTTGAAATATCATGCAAAACAGCTTCCTCTGGAAAGGGCCTATTGAGCTCGAAGTATCTAAATTTCCCCACAGAAAATTCAATAAGACCTACAACGAGATAAACTTTTCATTACAACACTTGTACTCTCATATCCGTTTGCAGAAATCATATTCATAAATGAATGTGGAATTTAATCCTCAGAAAAACTCTTTGAGGTAAATACGGTTATTGCTCCTATTTCCCTGCTAAAGACAATGTGGCTTAAAAAGTGATGCAGCCCACCCAGGGTCATCCAGCCAGTGAACGACAGAGCTCAGAACTAAAATGCAAGAGGTGTTTCAAAAGATATGCTGAAGACAGGCTCCTGGAGCCCAGAGAAACTTCCCCTCTGGCAGCAGCTGTAACAATCATCTTCGGAACAGAGTCCTTGAATTTGAAGATGACAATCCTGTGGGGCTACTAACAATCATGAATGTGCTGGTGTTAAAGTACTATAACTGTCTAGTGAATTCTGAAGTCAGCATAGCCTGAAGAGACACAGGTGGCTGCAATTTAACACCAGCGTTTCCCAGCTGTGTGATTTTAGGCAAGTTCCTTAAATCCCCTTAAGCCTCAATTTCCTCATCTGTCTAACGGAGACTGCAAAAGAAGGTGCCATCAGTACTGACAAAAATGTCTGTTGAGGGCCCACACCAGGCACTGCACATACTATTGTGAACCACAGGCATCCTGGAAAAGAGAGTTTTTGTTTGCTTAAGGATCAAGCTCAGAGTCCATAAAAAAGATAGGTTAAACAAGGACAGTTTTTCAACACCTCTTCCAGGCCTGTCCCATCTGTCTACATCCTCCATGGCCTGCATCTCACTGACTCTGTCCCCACTTCTCTGTGGTGTGTTTCTGCCAGCTGCACACCAGCTCTGTCTTTTTTCGATCTAACTCTCAAATATTCCTTTAATTAGGTTGCTTTTACTCCTGTGTAGTCCTGGATTCCTACCTGACCCCCCAACCTACAGTCAGTATCTGTCTGCATGAAAAGCAGAAGAGATCCCAAGCTTCCCATAAGCAGTCTTGCGTTCAATGGGAACGCAATTCAATTCTAAACAAATAAACAGAAGATTTAGATTAAATATAGATGAAAAGGAGTTGATGAAAAAAAGATTATAATTTACCCGAGTCCCACAGTGGAACTGTCATGTTTTATTTTAGAAGGAAATTAGAGTTAGTGGGTGGCAAAAGAAAACATTTCAGATACTAAATAACTTAATAACACATTCTTATATACCATGTCCCAAGAAGGTCAATTTTCAACACTTTGTTTTTTTAGTACAATAGCTCCACTGGATGATTTAAAACCAAACAGAACCAAAAAAAAAAAAAAAAAATCAAGAATGAGTAGCCTGTGGAACAAGAGCCATAAAGAAGACACAAATAGTGCTAAGACTAGAATAATGTTAACCTCTATATATTTTCCTTAAGTTCTGTGATGCTATATTACATTCATAACTTAATGTTTTTTTTTTTTAAAAAAAATCATGATAGAACACAAGGTTACTTATGGTTACAACTTCATTTCTAAAACTCTAGAGAAAATTTTAGTAGTTTTAACAATGACAAATGAAGATAGTATATTTCCTATTTATGGAACCAGAAAGACATTTTACATCTTATATGGACCAAACTCCAGCTGGAACAGAGGTTAAAATATTAAGGAGTGGTCAATAGAATCTGGGTAGGGAAGTCTGAAAAAAATTGTGTGCGTGTGTTTTTTCTTTTTAAAGAGAAACAAGAAAAACATGTTTATATTTTCCAGGCCTTCCCATCATCATGATTATTTTATTAGAAAAGCAAATTATACATAAAACTACATGGATTTTAGTAAATTACACTAAAAATGTTTCACGTATTGCCCTTCAAGTTTGGTTCCATCCATCACGCATCCTCCAAGTCTTAAAAATTCCCACCCGTTTTGGCAGTGTCAGCCTGTTTTCCTAGAAATTAGTAAGATTTCTATCCTTTCACAGTTCACAGCACTCAACTCACTCACTACCCTGCCTTTTCTAGTCTACATCTTCTGTTTTTCCCTTTTGTTCTCATTTTCCCTATTTGGCAAATATTTATAAGGTACTTGTGGAGTAGGCACTCTAGTTGTTGGGCACCATTATCAAAACTGATACAAACAAATTCATAAAGGTTATCCAAGACTTCTGTAATTATCACTTAAATTTGCCCTTTGATATATTTTAGAAAATGTTTTAATAATCCTTATGTCTATCTCCCATGACATGCGCCTTCCATCAGAACAGCATACAGAGCCTTTAAAAGCCCTGGAAGAGACTGAAGCCATCAACTAGAGAAGGACTCATGGTAAACTTTTCTTAACCTTCCCTTAACCTATCACCCAGGATGAGGATGAATCACAACTCAAAAACACTTGGAGAAACAAAACTTTGGAAAGACAGTACGGAAACACAGAACCATGGAAACTAAAATACACTGTTAAACAACTGATCACTTGACAAAATAAGTAGGGGAATATTAAAAGCAGGTATCTCTCGGAGCATATTTTAACTGACTCTTTTTTTTATTTTTATTTTTTTTTTGAGACAGTCTCACTCTGTCACTTAGGTGGAGTGCAGTGGGGCAATCTTAGCTCACTGAAATCTCCACCTCTCAGGTTCAAGCAATTCTCCTGCCTCAGCCTCCTGAGTACCTGGGATTACAGGCATGTGCCACCAAGCCTGGCTAATTTTTGTATTTTTAGTAGAGACGGGGTTTTACTATGTTGGCCAGGCTAGTCTCAAACTCCTGACCTCAAGTGATCCGCCCATCTCTCAGCCTCCCAAAGTGGTAGTATTACAAGCATGAGCTACCCCTCCTGGCTGACTTTTTTTTTTTTCACACATGTCCTTCTTTTTCTTTTTTTTTTTTTTTTGACACACAGTCTGGGTCTGTCGCCAGGCTGGAGTACAGTGGCACGATCTCAGCTCACTGCAACCTCCGCCTCCCAGGTTCAAGCAATTCTCCCGCCTCAGCCTCCCAAGTAGGTGGGACTACAGGTGCCCACCACCACGTCCGGCTAATTTTTTGTATTTTTAGTAGACACTGGGTTTCACCATGTTGGCCATGCTGGTCTCAATCTCTTGACCTCGTGATCCACCCACCTCAGCCTCCCAAAGTGCTGGGATTCCAAGCATGAGCCACCGCGCCAGGCCAACTCTACATTTTAAATGTTTATAAAATAGGAACATACACTAGGAAAAAAAAAAAAGGACAAAATGGGACATTCTGTTAACATTCTGTCACTGTTTTGCTTTCCCTTAAAATGGTAATATTTTTCTAGAAAATATATAATCCTTATAAAAGGTGCAAAATAAACAGAAAGTCAACTCTTCCAGCAAGCACACTGTACAGAAATCATCACTGCTAACAGTTGGGATATATCTTTTAGGGCTTAGGCAGATATCAGCATGCATATTTCCACACAGATGGAAAAAGATATATGTATGTTTGATATTGCCCATTTAACAGGTCTAATGTATCTTTCCATAACAACACAGATAATTCTAGCTTTACCATTTTAAAAGCTACAGAGTATTCCATTCTGGGTATGTACCATAATCATTTACCCAATCTCCTATTAATGAACATCTAGGCTGTTACCATTACAGCATGAATAATAAATTAGTAAGAAATAAAATAGTTCTGATTTTGTGGAAGACTATTCCAGAAAGCATATGTGTCAGGCAATAAATCTATTTGAGAGAGTTTTTGCTTTGACAGTGTAACAGATGACCTTTGATCTTAAATGGTTAAACTGTACCTAAAAAGTCTTGTTTTAGTCTAAGAAATCCAGAAATAAAAACAAACAGACCATGTGAGAATACATAACGATTAGGACCAAAAATTAATCTGCAGTCTTTGCTTCTGAATTCTTCTTCAGGAATAATTATAACTTTCATCTGTTACTTCCTGGATTTCCCAAAAGCTACAGGAAAATGATGCCTCATCATCTTCCTTTCCTCAAATGCCTATAGTGGGAACCGGGCAGAAGCCAGATGATAAAAGGGAGGGACATTGTATACATTATTTAAAACCTGGTCACTTGACGAAATAGGTAGAGGTGTTAAGAGGAAATCTCTCTGGGAGTGTATTTTCAGTGATTTTTTTTTTTCTTTTCATTACACATTTCCTTATTTTTAAAATTTTCTATAGTGACCATAAGGTGTCCTTTTCATAAGAAATTATAATACAGTGATTATACACTCTGGCTATACATTATTACAATCATCTGCAGTGGATTAAAAAAGAAAAAAAAAAAAAACCAAAACACTGCTGCCTGGGACCCTCTCCAGATAAGTTAAATCAAAATCACTGGGGCTAAGGTCCAGGTATCAATTAAAAAACAAATATTCATTAAATACTATGCAGAGAAATACACAAAGTTTACACACCCATGAATTAACCAGCACCTAAACAGCATTCTAGCACCTTAGGGGTCCCCTTGTGGCCCCTCCCAATCACATCTTCTTTCCTCCCCCAGAGGGAAACAGGGTCCTAAGTTCAAACACTAGGAATTTAGTTGGGGGAATTCAATTGAACAGAATTTACGCACAATTTTTGTGTGTTTGGCTTCTTTAAAATCAGCACTATGTTTGTGCAATTCATTCCAGCTGCTATAAGTAGCCATAACTCATTACCGTTCTTGTATACTTCATGAAATGAGCATGCCACAATGTATTTATCTGTTCTACTGTTAATAAACATCTGTATTTCTGGTTTAGAGTTATAAATAACTCTAAACATTTTCTGTGCATGTCTTTTGGTACATGCATATACACACTTCTGTTGGGTGGAATCTATAAGTAGAATTATCAGGTAATAGGGTATTCTCATCTTCAGCTTCAGTAGATACTGCCAGTCTTCCAACAATGTTTTGCCAATGTATACCTCATCAACTTACTGTAGGAAAGTATTCCAACTGCCCAACAGTCTCACCAACACTTGGTATCATTCATTTATCTGCTGGGTAGATAGTGGTGTCTGGCTGTGATTTTAATTTGCACTTCCCTAATTACTCATGGGTGTTAGGAACCCTTTGCTTTGCTTA